GTTTTCTCATTGCTGCATCACAGCAATGGCTCGTCTCCTCCATATGATCCTTCTGTAAGGGGATGTCCAGTTGCTGACAGATGGGCTTTGGGTCCCCAATCTGCATTCCCTTTCATTCACAATATGCCTGATACCTGATCCCTCTGACACCTTGTGATCACACAGGTTGGTGTGCTTCTTCCATGTGGACTTTGTTACTTCTGAGCTAGATAGCCACTTGTTTACCTTCAAGCCTTCAAGACCCCAGGCGCTACATCTTTTGGTAGCTAGGCACCATCAGCTTTTTTTTTTTTAAACATTTTATTAGGGGCTCATACAACTGTTATCGCAATCCATACACACATCAATTGTGTAAACCGCATTTGTACATCATTCTCAAAACATTTTCTCTCCACTTAAACCCCCGACATTAGGTCCTCATTTTTCCCCTCCCCATAAAATTATTTTCATTGCTACTTCGTAACTGTAATTTTGCTACTGTTATGAATCGGGTGACCCCTGTGAAAGGGTCGTTCAACCCCCAACTGGGTTGAGACCCACAGGTTGAGAACCGCTGGTCTAGATAAACCAGTGTGACCCACAGGTTGAGAATCGCTGGTCTAGATAAATCAGTCTAACGTCCCCAAACTGACTGGCTAGACCAGAGGAGGTACACTGATACAGATAGGAACTGAAAATACAGGGAATCCAGGACGGATGAGCCCTATAGGACCAGTGGTATGAGTGGCAAAACAGGGAGGGTAAAGGGAGAATGGGTAGGAAAGAGGGAACCGATTACATGGAACGGTGTGTGACCTCCTCCCTGGGGGACAGACAACCAAAAAGTGGATGAAGGGAGACGTCGGACAGGGCAAGATATGACAAAATACCCATTTATAAACTATCAAGGGCTCATGCGGGAGGGGGGAGTGGGGAGGGAGGGGAAAAATGAGGACCTAATGTCGGGGGTTTCAATGGAGAGAAAATGTTTTGAGAAACGATGTACAAATGCGCTTTACACAATTGATGTGTGTATGGATTGGGATAACAGTTGTATGAGCCCCTAAAAAAATGTAAAAAAAAAAAAAAAAAAAAAAAAAGTCCCCAAACTGAAAGTAACTACTTGTATCCACTGGAAATCCTACTTTATGCAGCCCACCTAAACTTAAGCTAAGATTCTTCATTCTTCTCTACCCACATTCCATAATAAGTTTAGTCTGCTTCTTAAAGCTTATTTGAAATGTAGCTGCTTTTCTAAATGCCTACTCCCTATGCTTTAGTTTGGAGCTTTCTCATCTTTTACCCGTACTTTTAATTCACCCCCTCCGCATCCTATCACTCTCTCTCCTATCTCCTCTTAATCATCATTTAATGCATTGTTTCCTAGAGTAGGTGATACTGTGGGCTGAGGATGGGAGAGTGAGGGGTTCAGAGGAAACATGGGGGGCTGGAGCAATCCAGGTGGCTTCAAATGCAGATGCCTATGCTTTATCTTGGATTTTAGGCTATTAACAAAAGCTTTAAATGCCAGTGGAGGTGCTGAATTTTTTTTTTTTCTGGGGGGGTCGGGATCATTTGTGGTGGGGGGAACCATTAGGCCAAATAAGTTTGGAAATATATGAACGTGTGTCAGAACAGAACTGTTTTCCTTAGGATATCCAGTTGTTTATATTTTGGAAATAGATCACCAGGCCTTTCTCCCAAGGTACCTCTAGGTGCTGAAACTTCAAACCTTTTGATTAGCAGCCAAGTTCTTAAATATGTACATCACCTAGGGAGCCCCCCATCAAGCCCCTTAAATGCATTTTATTCTCACAACTTAGTAGTTTATTATTTTTCTTGTTTATTTCAGTTAAAGGGCTTAATATAGCAACTGGCACATAGGCTTGTATATTTGTGTATATACTGTGCATGTTTAATTAGTTATTTCAGTTCATTTTTTCATTCACAATATTGATTGCACCTTTGTGCCAGGTACTGTGCTCTAGTCCCCAGTACTAGGTTGATAGGATCTTTGTATTCAGGAAGTTGCTTTGATTTGTGCCAGTTATTAGTAAAGGATATGTTATTGGTTGCTTTGTCAAAGAGGTAGTAAAGGTACTATTCCAATTAAATTGTAGATTCTCTATGCATCTAGAAGCTTAAGCATTTTTATGAAATGATTGAGTAGCTTCATTGCATAAAATATAGTAGTAAAAAATATAAATGCTTGACTCTTACTTAAAGCCTGAATCAAAAGTTGGAAGTTGGTGAATTTGAAAATTTGCTGCTGACTATGTTTATTGGTTTTTAATAAAGGGTCTATGGGTTGATTTCTCAGCTTATGACAAATTGTAAAAACTATCAACATTTCAAACCTACCAGGTGCTCCCCGGGTGAAAGATAAGGCAGTCTGCTTCCATAAAGACTTAGAGCCGCATTGAGGCAGTTCTCTTCTTTCTCACAGGGTTACTGAGAATTGACTTGATGGCAGTAGGTTTCATTTTTGAGTTTTTAATTTTAGTATCAGTAAGAAATAGTAGGTGTAATTTATAAATATTTTTAAATGAAAATTCCAAGAGGTATTAAATCTGATTTGATCTTTTGTTTTTAGATGGTTGAATTGTTTTTGTAATAAAGGTATTGCATTTAAATGTTGCATGATAGGAAGATGGCATCTTGAAGAGTAGATAATGAAAGGAAAATACTTTTGAATTTTTAAAAATTGCTTCTGTGAAGCAGAGGAAAAGAGTAAGTTGCTAATTAATCAGCAATTTATTCTTTCTTACTACAACTTACTGGCCAACACTTGCAAATACATGTAAAATATTTGTAGAATGATTGTAATGCATTGTAAAAATTGTGAATTCTTGTTATCATTGCATCTAGTCTTACTAGCAACACCCCTTTTCAACAAAGAGCAGGTATGAAAGAATCTATCAACTCATAATCCTCTAGCTCTTGTCACATTTCCCCCTTTGCAGGCACACTTCTTCAGATTGTCTGTATTCATTGTTTCTTGTTCAATTTATTCTTTAATCCATTATAGACTAACTTTTGCTCCTTCTACTAGTAATGTCCTAAATGTTTATAGTAATGAGTACCTCTCAGCATTTCTGTATTACGTATGATTGGCTACTTGACCCCTTTTGAAATATTCTTTTTCCTTCATTCCAGAGACAGAACACAACAAGAAAGAAAAGCTTCTAGTTAGTTCCAGGACTGTTTGTTGGCCTTTAGGAGTGTTTTCCCATCCAGTCTGTTGGAGCACCAAGCCCTGGTCCCAAAGTCCACCTTCGGCATTCCCTGGGGACATCGTTGCTCCATTCCCTTGATGTTCTGTTGCAACCCTTTAGTGTTTTGCCTCGGCGTGGCGGCATCAGATCAGGCCCAGATCCCACACTGTGTCTCCAGTGTTGTCCCCTGTAGGGCTATGGGTCAGTGAGGAATGTCATGTCTCATAGTAGGGCCGACCATGTGGTCCTCTCTGTGGGCTGGCTGCTCTAATCGGGAACATTGTCCTCAAGGTCTGGTGGGCCAGGATGTGCTCCACTCTCTCCTCCTCCCCCTTTATCTGCTCCCATGTGCTCCAGCCAGACATGTCCCTCTCCCAGAGCTGCATATTCAGTGCTGTCCTTTGAAATAAATTCTTCTGGGGGGAGGCGCTAGTTTAATTTTTATTGTTTTTTTTACCATAGTGATATGCTGAAATGCAATGTTTATATATTTTATTATTCCTAATCTTAAAATTGTTTAGATGCTTCTCATTACCAGAAATTGTTTTCAAAGATTTATCTATAGACCATCTATTTTCGATCATTTAGAGAACTTTTGAAAAGCTTATATCTTCTGGCTTACCCACAGATTCTAAATAAATATAGAGCTAAGGAATCTTTGAAACATTTCCCAGATGATTCTGCTGAATAGACAAAATGTGATGGTGTGCGCATGCGGTGCAAATTTCCTATCAAGGAGTTCATGCTTTAACTGGTGCCTTGTATGCTTTTCCAGCAGCATCTCACTCTGTTCTCCTTCCCTTCATTTTAGGGCTTCTGACCAGTTCATTCCGGTTCAACTCCTGGCAGAGAATTTTATTTATTCATCTAGAAATACTGAACCAGAATCTGCATTGTAACAAGATCCCGAGGTGATTTTTACAGATCATATAGATTCTAAGAGTTTATAATTTATGTATGCATAAGTATCACCTGGGGATCTTAATAAAATACAAATTCTGATTCAGTATACCTGGGTGGAAAGTCAAATCCTCAATAAGGTGTCAAGCTGGAATGAACAGAAACTCTGCTTCATTAGCTATCCTTCAACCTTCTTCTGTTCCCTGACCCATCTGACTGTATCCTTCTTTGGGACTTGGACATGCTTTTGTTTGATTGGGGCAAAAATCAAACCAAACTCTCTTTTGTGGAATTAATTCCAACTCATATCCCATGGCACAGAGTAGAAATTCTTCTTTGGATTTCCGAGGCTGTAACTATTTATGGGAGCAGAAAGCCTCATCTTGCACCTTTAGAGCAATTGATGGAGTCAAACTGTTGGCCTTGTGGTTAGCAGCCCAACATGTACTACCTGGGTTCCTTTGAAAAGCACAAAGCTAATACAAATCAATAAAGTCCTGAAATACTAAGTGACTTGCCCAAATCATATAATGGTAAATGATGGAACATTTCAAAAATTAAGATTTCATATTCCTAACGTAATTCCTGTTTTTAGCTCTTTTGTTGCTTTTTATCTACAGTGTCTGGGCCGGTTGATCTGAAATGACCTCTCATTCCTTTTATTCTTAAATAATCATTCCTTTATTCCCTTATTTGTTTATTCAACAAACATTTATATTTGACTATGAAGAAACAGTACAGGATCTAGGGTAGGAGGATTGGTAGAAGTTTTCAATGCAAATTTCTTTAAGATCTTCAAGATAGATTCATAATATTCAATCATAATATACTATATAGAAAGATAAATTACTAATTTTTCAGAAGATAAATCATAGTATAATCTTCTCTACTCTCTTTTTTATCTAGGGAAAGACCATGTTTGTAGATTTATTGGCTGTGGGAGGAATGATCGATTCAACTATGTGGTCATGCAGTTGCAGGTAGGTTACATTGAAAATGTATCTTAACTTTCTCTTCCTGGTGATTCAAATATTAATATCTGCTTAAAATTTACAGGAACAACTCCTTCTGTTGAAGAAATTCTAGCTATTTATCATTAAAATAGATCTTAAAATACATTATCTTCTAGAGTTCAAACAGTTGTATACAGTTCTTCTCTGAATTTTACTAACATGACCTTAACTGAGTTTCATGTAATATTTATCACCATTAGGGCTTAGATGAGCATCTTTCGTAGAGCTAAATGGTAGGTGGGACTTATGTTTTAGCAGTGTATTATGTAAGGGGGAAATTTGTTTTTAATTCCGTAATGATTTAGATAGAACAGAACAGCTAGAAATCTTCTGTTTTCACTTTGTTAAACCTATACAAAGTAGACAGAATCACATAATAAACCCCCATATATAACACTCAGCTTCAGCTTCTATACTATGGAATACAATCTTGTGTTTCAATTATAAATCTCCTATCCCTTTCCTTTCCATTTTTCCCCGCCTCTCCACTCCCATTTACCCTTCTGGATTCTTTTAAGGCAAATTCTGGTGTGGAACTCCTTTTTAACCCCCCTTAAACTAACCACGGTTTCCCATATTGTGTGTCTCCTTCTCTTTTAATCAGATTTCTTTGAATTAGGTTCCAGACAAGATTTACACATAGATTTCCTCTCCATCTTTTTTTTGTTGTTGCAGTTTTGATGTTTTTAATATGATTGAGAAAATGGAGTAATTCCTCATGCAGACATTTTCATATTCTGGATTTTTCAGATTGACTTCATATGGTGTTATATAACATGTTCTATCTTTTGTATTTCCAGTATACTGGTAATTAGAAAAAAGGGCTTGGTCAGATTCTAGTTTTATTATATTTGGCAAGAATATTGCAGACGTGGGTTGCATACTTTCTATTTCATCACATTAGGAGACAATGTCTGTCTGGTTGTCTCTTAGTGATGTGAAGATTTGTTTAGTAGTTTCAAGGACTGTCAGCCTGATTCCTTTATTTTAAGTTCCCAGTTTTTCTCCTAATGTTTTTATCAATCCATTATTAATCATTTCCTTACATCTGCTATTTTGAGGTAAGTTACAAATCTACTATTTTGTCATTATTTATTAACTGGATAAAATAAGATTTGAATTAAAAACAATTCTATGTAATGAGTAAATTTAGGGAATTCATTATTTTATTTTCACTTTTTTAAGGTTTATCTTCTATAATAAAAAATACTTGGGTTTTTATTAGGATCATATTAAATTGATAGATTAGAGAGAAACTTGTTTTAAACATTTTATATAATTTACATATATATTTCAATACATACATATATTAAACAAATCATAAAAATTTATTTAGACAATTCCAAGTTTATGATGTTGGCATTTTATCAATTTAGTAGTAACTCCCTTGTGGAAAGTTCTGATCATCTGGCTTATCCATATGGTGGTGAATAAGTTTTAGCAGAGCTTCTAGATTAAAAACAGACTACAAAGAAAGACTAGTTTGTTCACTTCTGAGGGCTTAGACATTCATTTGCTGATGGGGCATAACTCAAAATAAGAAACATTCATTGATAATCAGAGTGTGGAGTTACAAAGTATGGATGTAGGAAAACTGGAAGTCATCAAAAATGAAATGGTACACATAAAGATCGATATTCTAGCATTAGTGAGTTGAACAGACTGGTATTGGCCATTTTGAATCAGATAATCCTATGGCATACTATGCTGGGAATGACAAAATTCAAGGGGTATGGTGTTGTCTTCATCGTCAAAAAGAACATTTCAGACAAGTGGGACATACTGAAGATAAGACACCTGTGTACATCGAAAGAATTCACCAAGAGAGTAATAAGAGAGTCCACTGACTGGGAAAACATCTTTAGCAATGAAACATCAGACAAAGGCCTTATTACTAAAAAGAACATGTCAAGATCTGTCTTGATGTACAATTCTGTCTATGATAGGATAATAACTACACAGCTATAAAGAAATCCAATTAATTCAAATATTCACATTTGTAGACCAATCACTAAAGTTAGTGATGAAAAAATTGAATTCTACCAACCTTATCTGAAATTGATCAGACATGAATTGAAGCTGCATTAATAATTACTGGCAACTGGAATGAAAGAGGTAGAGACAAAGAGGAAGGATCAGTAGTTGGAAAATATGTCCTTGGTGACATAAACAAAACTGGAGATCCTATGATAGAATTTTGGATTACCAATGACTTCTTCATTGCAAATACCTCTTTCCAATAACATAAGCAGTTGCTATACACATGAATCTCACCAGATGTAATACACAGGAAAAATGGACTATATTTGTGGGAAGAAATGATGGAGAAGCTCAATATCATCAGGCAAAATAAGACCAGGGCCCAACTTTGGAACAGACCAGGAGTTGCTCATATGCAAGTTCAGGCTGAAGTTTAAGAAAGGTAAAACAAGTCTAAGAGAGCCAAACTTCAACCTTGAGTTATCCCATTTGAATTTAGAACACATCTCAGGAATATATTTTATATATTTGAGCACTAATGACTTGAAAGCCTGACAAACTGTGGGATGACATCAAGCACATTATATATGAAGAAAGCAAAAAGTCATTAAATGGTCCAGGTAGAATCACCCACCTGGCACTCCTGCTGCCAGACCAGAAAATTAAGAGATAGGCATGGGAAGCAAGCTTGAGGAGAAAGCAACTGACCAGTGGTTCCAGAGGGACTTGGGAGAAGAAGGGGGTGGGGGGGTGAGCAAACAACGCCATAGACAGGGGAATAACTAGGGAATTAAAATCAACCATGAGGAGGATGTAGAGAGCTTGGGGTTGTTGAAGCAACAGCAATCTAATTGAGAGGTATTACTAAGAGGAGGAAGAAGGGCGAGCATGGTGGTGGGGAAGGAGGAAGGTAAAAGGAAATAGAGGAAAGATCTAGGAAGAAAAGATATGGATAGAGGTATAAGCCTAGGTGAGTATATATGTAAATACATTACTTCATAAAAACATAGATATTGGCCTCAGTATATATATATTTATAAGGTGGACAAACTTTGGGCCTCTGCTCATGCCCTCCCTCAATGCAAGAACACTTTGTTCTAACAACCTGGCATTCTGTGATGCTCACCCTCCTGCCACAATTGCTGAAGACAAAATGGGTGCATAAGCAAATGTGGTGAAGAAAGTGGCTATCAAAAGATGTGTCTGGGGTCTTAATGGCTTGAAGTTAACAGGCATCAGAAGACCCACAACAAACAATTTAAAAAGTCCTATTGAAAATGGGTGGGGGGGGTCAGAGCAGAGATCCAAAACCCATCTGTAGACAATGGGACATCTGTAGACAAAGGGACATGACCTCACAGAAAGGTCACAAAGAGAGGATGAGTCAATCGGTGTAAGTATAGCACCAATGAAACACAATATTCCTCTGGTTCCTTGAGGCTTCTTCACCCCCCACTATCATGACCCCAGACCTGCCTTTCACTGTGGCTAGATCGGAGCATGTGCACAGGTACAGATAAGTAGCAATACTAGGAGGGTAGAAGGAAGGTGGAAGAGGAAGGGGAGAAGAGGGAACTGATCACAATGGATAAACAATAGAAACCATGGGGGAAGGGAGACAGCAGTTGGTGTAAGATATGAAAATAATAATTATGATTTATCAAAGGGTCGGTCACAAGGGTGGCAGGGAATGGAGGGAAAAATGAGCTGATACGAAGGGCACAATAGAAAGTAACTGTTTAGAAAATAATGATGGCCACATGTACAAATATGCTTGATACAGTTGATTTATGGATTGTTATAAGACTTGTAAGAGGCCCCAATAAAATGACATTTTTTTAATTATTAAAAAGGCAGGAAAGAAAGAAAAGTGATACTGAAACTTGCCCTTGAACAGAGTAGACAAAGCAAAAGGAAGAAGTAAAAGAGCTGAACAGGAAATTTCAAAGGGCAGCTTGAGATGAAATAAAGTATTATAATGAAATATACAAGTGCAATTTGTTGAAGATAATTTAAAAATGGCTTCAACAGTCTTTTAACAGAGCTACAAGATTTTCAAGCCAGATTCAGAAGCGGATATGAAATGAGGGATATAAATGCTCATGTTAAATGGCTCTTGACTGAAAGCAGAGAATACTAGAATGGTATTTACTTGTGTTTTATTGACTACACAAAGGCGTTTGTGTAGATTATAAAAAACTACAAATAACATTGGAAGAATGGGGATCCAAAATATTTAATTGTACTCGTGGATAACCTTTAATAGACCAAGAGGCCGTTCATACAGAATAAGGGAATAGTACTGCACAGTTTAAAATCATGGAAGGTATGTGTTAGTATAGCCTTTCACCGTACTTAATCTGTATACTGATCAAATAATCAGAGAAGCTGAATTATATGAAGAACTACAGCATTTAGTATTAAAAAAACTAACAAAAATTCTCATAACTGGACCGTATCGTAATAGTGGAGAAAAGATTGGTTTCATTTTACTGGTATCCACATTCAGTGCTCATGGAAGTAAGCAGTCGAATCAAACATCATATTGCATTGGGCAAATTTGTTGTACAAGATCTCTTCAAAGTGCTAAAGGGGAAAGCTGTCACTTTGAGGACTAAGAGATACTCCTGACCTAAGCTATGGTATTTTTAGTCGCTTCTTTGGCATATGAAAGCTAGACAGTGAAAAGGAAAATCTGAGAATAGTTTATGCATATGAATTTCAGTGTTGGTAAAGAATATTGAAAGTACCAGTTACTGCCAGTAGAACGAACAAATCAGTCTTGAAAGGAGTACATGTAAAATGCTCCTTACAATAGAGGATGGCAAGACTTCATCTCGCGTACTTTGGATATATTATCAGGAGTTCCCACGCCCTGGAAAAGGACATTACAGAGAGTCAACAAATAAGAAAGTTCTCAAGGAGATGGATTGACTCAATGGCTACAAAGATGGGCTCAAACATAAACAACAATAATTGAGGGTGGC